TGCATCTTATATGTATTTTATAAAAATGCATTTTATTTACATCGAAGGTCTTTTGGGTAAAACCAGGGTTGGCAATATGCAGGTTATCCGACTTTATACTAAAAGAAATCTGCTCACCAAGGGAATTCCAAGTCAAATCCCAGCCAAAAGGGTCTGGTCAAATGGAGGATCTCAATTCTAAGATATGCATACTGGCACGTAGACGGTCCAAAGATGGTGTCTATGGACCCGGTACCCAACTTTCCATTGGTTTCCAGCTGGTCATTAGGGCCTAATCCACTGATCGTCAAATCAATGATCACGGTATCAGGATCCAGGATTGAAGGTAACGAGGTCGCAAACTAACTAGCTTGGAAAGGGTTATGCCTGCCCTGGTGAAACTGGAACCGCTTTGTGGACTTAGCTGGTCCTCATCGAGACTTATGATTAGCTCAGAACGCAGTAAGTACTGGGGAGCAGTTGGGCGCCTTAGACAGGCTAGACTTTTTTGACACCCTTTTACTATGAACGACATAAATCTTTTGAATAGTGCCAACATCAAGTTGCTTCTGGTTGCCTAACCGGTCATAACTAAATATCTGCGCATTGGTCCCTCCACAACATTTTGATACCAATCAAAGTTCGTTTGGAAGCTCATGTAATAACCTTTCAATAAAAACTATTGGCATAGAGCCATAATTACTTTTTGATGTCAAAATATTTTCATCGAAAAAAGTGCAAAAACTGCCGGATTTCTTTTAAAAAAAGGTTTAATGCTCTAATATTTTTATATTATAAATATTAGGGCAAAAATCATTAAACCCCTCAATTTAAAAAATTCTTTATTTAACGCATTTTTTATGATTTTCTTGCAGCTGTACATTCTAGAAGAAATGTCTAGGTCCTCTCAAAGTAGGGTTACCAGATGAACATTTAGCTTAATAGGACAATTTAAACAAAAAAAAGGAGGAAATTTAGTCCTGGTAAGATTCAGAAGGAGGATGCCTGAGAAACAATATATAAAAATATGTACATATACGCCTGTGGTCAGCTGATTATGGTTAAGTGACATTTTGACCAGTTATTTTTTTTTTTATAAAAGTCTAAGGTATTGTATAATAAGCACCATATAAATCCACCTTTTAAACTTTGTACAACAATTATAAAAATTCAAAATGTCCTTATGCTGGCATACATTTTTTTTGAAAAACTTCTGATATTTGTCCAATTTATTTAATATGCATTACCTTCAATAAACTACATAAATAAAATAAAATATTCTTGTTTTTGTCTCGCGGTGTTGTGTTTTTCCATACAAACATTGGACTTCACAGTCAAGATACCAAGCAGTGTGTTCTTTTGCTTAGCGCCGCACTATTGGGCCTCTACCGCAAAAACTTATCTATTGGAGAATTGTAACCTTTATTGAACACGGATTAATAGTTAGGTGGTAGAAGTATTTATTTACCTAAACCCAAAAATTTTCATAATTATCATGAAGCGTGAATAACACAAAACAATATATAATACTGTCAAGAAATATAGTTACTGCAAAAACAATAAATTATAACAAATAGACTTTATTGTTTATGTATTTGATGAATTATATTTATCTACAAGTGTGCCAGTATCGTAGTAAAACTACGTTTTTTAGTTAGATAGTTTTTCTCTTAGACCTCAGGATTTGTTAAAAGGAATTTGAAACTTAAAAAATATGATTATTTCTTAAAAATTATTTAACAATTGTAAGCTTAAAAAAAATAAAATTAATTAAAAGAGCGTATTCAATAGCTGTCCGCCATTGTGAACCAACAAATTTAAATATTTTTAAATTCTACCGAAATCTCTCTTTCATTCAGTACCCATATTATTATTCTACATTGGACTGAATTTTTGGAAATTAAATACATATCGTCGTTTAAAGTATAAAATCGCATATCGTCATTCTGCGAAACCGCGTAACTGACATTTGCAGCCAAAAATCGGATTTGCTCACACAAGCTCTTGGCTCAATTCTTATCCATTCGTCCTGAAATATACCAGCCAGAAATGCGATTGCTTTATAAAAAAGATAATCATTTTGAAATATGAGTGTTTTTACTCTCTGGAAAATAATTTATGCAACCTCATATACGAGGTTTTGCATTATCTTGATACCCGGTTTTGCATTTTGTTGATACGATGTATGAAGACTTTTGACTGTTCCTTGGCGCGCCTATTTAGGGATGCCAGTTAAGTGGCCTACTGGGCCACGCTGCGATCGGGCGCAACGCGCCCTATGTGGGACCGCTATAGGTAACTAAACAGGGCAGCGAGACTTATTTGCCGCAATAAGAAGAGAGAGGCCGCAATACATGGGTGCGAAGAGCTTGAAATGCTGGCCGACAGGAAGAGTGCCCGAAAATTTTACCAGCGAGTTAGGCGACTTACGGAACCTAGTTACCGATGTTCAGAATTATGGAGCGAACACTTCTCCACCCTACTGAATGGTAGCAGCACAGAAAGTTGTGGAGAAGAAGAACCCGAGCCCATAGTCGATGATGACGGAGTCGATGTACCACCGCCTGACTATGACGAGGTACGAATTGCAATAACGCGGCTGAAAGACAAAGCTGCTGGAGCTGACAGCCTGCCAGCTGAGCTATTCAAGTACGGCGGCAAAGAATTGATAAGGTGCATGCATCAACTCTTGTGCAGAATATGGTCAGATGAACGCATGCCCGACGACTGGAATTTAAGTGTGCTGTGCCCAATCCACAAGAAAGGTGACCCCGCCATTCGCGCCAACTACCACGGGATCAGCCTTCTAAGCATAGGTTACAAGGTCTTATCGAGCGTATTGTGGGAAAGACTGAAGCCCACCG